GGCGCGAGTGGCGGGAGCGCCACCTGGAGCTGTAGCTCGTGCACAGGTGAGCGCCCACGGACGCGAGCAGGTCCTGGCCTTCGTGTGCCTGGAGGTCTGTAGGCAGTACCAGGCCCTGCATGTCCTTCCTGGCGCCCGTAGGACTCGCAGTGTGGGAAACTGGCTTAGACACTGGGAGCTTGTTTCATTAATTACAGATCTCTGTGTGTGTGTGTGCATGTGTAATGTGCATACGTGCACGCATGTGTATGTGTATACATGTACACGAGTATATATACGCACACATCAGTGTATGTGTGTGCAAACAATATATCTGTATATTTAGGTGTACATATGTGTAATGTGTATATGTGTGTATATACACGTATATGGGTGTGTGTACATACGTGTATATATGGACACGTGTGCACATATGCATGCACATGCTTGTTTGTTGATATATATATGTATATTTGGGTATATTTATGTGTATATTTGCATATATGTGTTTATATATGGCCATGTGCATATATGTGTGCATATATCCATCTGTATGCATATACACATGTGTATAAATGGATAGGGTGTACATATGTATGCCTATGCATATATGTGTATGTATGTGTATATACGTTTATGTGCGCATATGTATGTATAACTGTGTGTATGTATCTCCATGTGTATGCATATATACATGCAGGTATATACACATACATACACCCACGTCTATATCTGCACCCATGTACATGCACGAACATGGGAACATGCATGTGTATGTATATACGTGCACACACGTGTATGTATTTTGCATGTATGTGCACTAATGTATGTGTGTGCATGCATGAACACAGTTCACATATGCCTGTGTGCGTGCGTATATGCGTATGCATGTGTGCCTGTTTATGTGCTTGTGTGTGCACACATGTGTGCCTGTGTGTGTTATATGAGAATATATGTGTATGTGCACGTTATTTATTTTTTCTTTTCAAATCTCCAGAGGGCGTGTGCCCTCACCAGCATTACCTCCCTGTGGCCTGAGCTCAGACACACTGCAGCCCCTCCTAGACGGTGTTCAAGTAACAGGAGGCACCTGTCATACACGATGCCCTCCCTCTGGGCCGGTGGGTGGCGTGGTGGTTAGGGGCGTCGGACTGCACATGGCTGGTCACAGTTCGAGTCCCAGACCTGGCAGTTTGCTTTTTTACTTTTTCTCTCTCTCTCTCCCTCCTTCTCTCTCTGATCAAATTTAAATAAAGAAATAAAGAAATAAACAAAGTTAAATAAAAAATAGTTCTTAAAAAATAAGATGCCATCCCTCTAAGAGCAGCGTAGGCCCGTGGGGTCCAGGATGGCTGCCGTCATGAGCCAGAAGACCCCGTCACGATGTCACGGGTGCCCAGGGACGCCTGCTGGGACCACTGAGTCACCAGGCCCCCTGGAGCTGTCCCTGCACAGGGGCAGAGCGGGGGTGGGGCTA